GCTCACAGTTTTGTGTGTGTGTCTCTGGTCAAATTAAAATAAGTGAATGAATAAATAAAATTAAATAATTATTTTTTTTAAAAAAGATCAAAGTGGATATTCCTCTCCACCCCCTCCAAAAAAGAAAAAAATAAACAAAAGGAGAAGAAGGGGAGGCAAGAGGCAAGGGAACAAGGAGATTGAGCCTAGAGGAAAACAGATTTAATCAGTCATAAATGACCTTTCCCTGTGCCAGCCCCAGTCCTGCCCACCTCCCGCCCCACCTGTCCAGCCAATAGGCTTCTGGGACTGCAATCAGCTGTGGAGGAGTTGAGTGCTCCAAAAAAAAAAAAAAAGGCAGAAAGGAAAAGCAAAACCCAGGAGACTGCCCTGCCCTACCCCTATCCTGCTGCTGCAACTTTCCTGCATTCATTTACCTGCTCCGAGTGATTCCCTTCCTAAATACTCAAGTCTCACTCCTGGCCCATCCTCTTCACCTTGCTCCCCGGTTGCTCCCCCTACCCAGAAGCTCTTTCTGCACAGTCTCTCTTCCCTTCCTTTCCTTACAGATTTGGGAACAGAACGTGGGACTCAATCTTACAAGATCTTCCTAAAAATCTTTTCCCGCAGGGCCTCACCAATCCAGGCCCTTCCAAGGTCACCTCCTTTCTTTTCCCCACCTCCAAGGTCAATTTCGGTCCAGTCCCTCCACCTTCACTAGCAACAGTGGCCAACATTCCTGTTGCCCTTGATATGCCAGATCCAGTACTTAGCACTTCACTACTCAATTTTCAAAACAACTCTATAAGGTGTCACTGTTAGCATGTTAGAGCGGCTCAGTCCAGGGCGTGCACTGCATTACCTGAGGTTACACAACTGGAAAGTGGTGGAGCAGGGATTAAAAACCCATGTGGTCTAGCTCCAGAAACCAACCACCTAACCACTACTCAGTTTATCTGTGGAATTTTACTTCAAAGCTCTCTTTACAGCCTACTGCTTCTCCCCCTCTAAACAGGGGCTTATTACAGATTTTTTTACAGGGTGGACTTTGCCTTAACAGCATCTAACTAAAGATATTCTGGCCTTTTCAATGAGAAAGAAAGCTTTCTCAAGTGTTTCTAAGAAATGTGGACATGTCCAATCTGGACCTCTCTCCCGTCCTGTTCTCCACTCTTTAATACTTGATAATTACCTCTGCGCAGTATTCAGAACACACAAAGTCCCCGGCGTGATATTAGGTCAGAGGACACAGGAATCAAACGAGTTTTGTGTGTGTGCAATTCATTTTAAAGTTAGTGATTGTGGCAAAGTAGCAAAGACATTTGAGGGCTTGTAAAAAGTCCGTGATGCAGACCTGATAGCTCCTTTTTGAAGAGGACTCTTGGCTCAAAAGAAAGTTTCTCTCTTACTAATTCAGTTTCATATTCCAACCCTTGAGGGACGGATACTCGCTGTCGTCGGGTCGCTCCAAGGGACCTCCCCTAGAGATAGGAGCAACTAATGAGGACCCCCAACTCTCTCTCCAAATTGGCTTCCTTCCTCTGGGCCCACAAAGGAGCTGCCTTGCTTTTCCTTTCCTAAGGAAGTGGAAGTTTCCGCCCACAGTGCCCTCTCCGAGTAGTCTCCCTGTGGTCTTCTGACTCCTTCCTTCACATTCTGCAGGGACCTCGGCCCCGAGGACAGCCTTTTACAACCCAGTATTCCCTTAGGGAGACTCCCCGGGCCCCAGGTACTCACAGATCTAGCCAGCCCCCGAGCCCCACGCCGCCGCAGCAGCCGGCGGGCC